AGATGCCTCTCCCCAGATTAAATCAGCCAAACAAATTGTCAGCCAAATTTTGGTAAGCCAATAAACAATCGAACACATGCCAACAATGCCACCAAATTTCATCAATATTCCAAGTCACCAATACAGGTGAGATAGCAAAATGAGTAGCATGCTCATTATTAAATTCTCTACAACTAAATATTTATTATTGAAGATCTGGAAATTGTTTAGTTTTCGTTCGCTTAACAAGTTCTTAGTTGAAGTACATAAATCTTTATCGAATTTGAGAAACGATCAAAAATTCTAATGTCCGCTTCAAAAAAAAAGTCGGATGAATATTTGTTAAATAACTTTTCATAGGAATAAGATAAAGAATAGCGATCTTCACCATTGGAACGAAGCTCATCCTGCGCATTGATCCATATAAAATTGTTGAAATGTATTCTATGAATAAGTAGTGATCCATGATCATCTTGAAAGAGTGGACTGTTACTCTATGAAGATAGGACAAATCTTAAACTTTGAAAAGCAGATTGGAATCGCCAGCTCACGCGCTACAAATCTATAAAAGGTCGAAAGTTTAATCCCAAGTCATTTAAAAGTTATGAGTCAAATACAAATAGCATTTGACCAATTTTTTCATCAATTTTACCTTTCACAAAATATTTTTCAAATTATTATTAATGATATTTTCGATCATGCTGGATCAATTTGCAATACTTGTTTTGCTATAAAGCAATTGATTTTCTAGCAAAATATTCTAACTAGCCATTGAATGATGTTGTTAACTAGGAATAGATACATCATATTCCACAAACACTTATGAGCACAAGCAACACGTTTAGGATAGTGAGTAGATTGGATCATATTTGTACTTTGTGATTTGGGTATTTTTCAGCGATTGTGTGATAACGTAATTTAAGTAGTAAATAACTATTTTCTATTGCCGATATCAGCTATAAATATGCCTAAAGACTATGAATTTTCTCAAGACATAAAGCAGGCATTTTTCAATGTCATCAAGTTTATCGAAAAAGAAAAGGTTGAACCAGTAATCCTGCTCTTCAATGTCAATAAATGACTATCATCTATGCTTAATATTTTGATGAGATCTGTTGAACGATTGAAGAATGAGATGAGAGAAATTGAACATGCTATGGTAGAAAGGAAGAAGAAAATGGATGAAGAGAAAGAAGAGATGGAGGATCAAAAAGTTCAGATGCTTAGTTGACTTCGAAATCTACGATCAAGATCATCATCATCCACAATCACCATCAACAAAATGACAATCAGTGATCCTGACTCAAGCTCGTCGCGTAAACTATCAAACCCTGGTTATCCATCCACTGTTTTAACGGAACAACAGCAGGAGACTATTTGGTGAGTTTAACTTAATCGAAGATTAGCGGAAAAGTAACATCAACATAAACATGTTTTTTAAGATTTCATGTTCACTCCATTTTAGTAGAGTGAATCTATCCTACCATCAACAAAATTCTTACCCGTATTCGGGCCGCGGATGCTGATTTTCCTATCCAATCAAGAACATCGTTATGGAGGTGGATGAGAAAAATTGGATTTGACTATAAACGAACATCGAAAGTCATTGTACCACTCGATATCCCTGCATTTATGGCAGTCCGTACGCGTTATTTTGCTGTTCTTGATGAACTGGGCACTAGTGGCATTAAGATGTTTTGGCACGATGAAATATAGATCAATAAAAATGAAGAGAGGTATTTTGTTTAGACTGATGAAGAAACAAGTGCAGATCGAATATGAGGTAACTACAAAAAAAGGTATTCATTATTTCTATTATAATTCACATGATTTTTGTTTATGATTATAGGAAAAAGATTACCGATTTCTGCTCTTCTAAACGAATCACGTTTTCATAAAATAATAATTGATATGTTTGAGTGTGATGATAATCGTAGTATGAATTCGAGATGCTTTTTGACTTGGATTGATCGAACAGCCTCGCTTTTGAGAGAAGAGTTTAGTAATATAATTAATAATCTTGTATCATGAATTTCATTGTTGATATATGTATCTCGATCAACATGTCAAAATTGTCTTAATTATTGACAATGCAACATGGCATAATCTACTTCCTGAAGATACCATCCCTCCCAGGAGAACATGGCGGAAAGAATTTATTGTTCAGTGGCTGGCAAATCATAATTTAATAGTTCCTGTTAAAGCTACTAAAGCGGAATTATTAGTACTTGCATTCAATAATTAACCATCAAAACGTTACATTATCGATGAGGGAACCAAAAAGTATAATGTTAATATTTTGCAGTTAGTTGAATGAATTTAAAGTATTTTTTTTGCATTGATGAACATACTTCTATAGGTTACTAGTTAAGCATTGTATGCTCAATGTAATTGAATTAGCATAGGTTGGTTTGAAGAATTATGAGCGCGACAACAATGTTAACTTTAGCTTGAGTGATGTTCGACATTTTGTCTACAAATTGATGATATCTTCGAGTTAAATGTAAAGAAATGTCCAAGAAGTCTGATCGTTTCATCGAAGAAATCGAGGAGTAGTTGGTAGATGAAGAAGAAGATGTGGATGATTGACAATATGCATTGTCGTTCTTTATTCTTTTCGTAGTTACCATTAGAAAAATGGAACGTAAAATTTTATGTTTGTGTTCATAAATATTTGTGAAATATTCTGTATCTATTCCAAGTTAATAATGTAATAGCATATGAAAATAATATTGTTCAATGGCTAGTTAGAATGTTTTACTAGAAAAAGAATCACTTTATAGCAAAACAAGTATTGCAAATTGATCCAGCATGATCGAAAATATCATTAATAATAATTTGAAAAATATTTTGTGAAAGGTAAAATTGATGAAAAAATTGGTCAAATGCTATTTGTATTTGACTCATAACTTTTAAATGACTTGGGATTAAACTTTCGACCTTTTATAGATTTGTAGCGCGTGAGCTGGCGATTCCAATCTGCTTTTCAAAGTTTAAGATTTGTCCTATCTTCATAGAGCAACAATCTACTCTTTCAAGATGATCATGGATCACTACTTATTAATGGAATACATTTCAACAGTTTTATATGGATCAATGCATAGGATGAGCTTCATTCCAATGGTGAAGATCGCTGTTCTTTATCTTATTCCTATGAAAACTTATTAAAAAAATACTCATCCGATGTCCTTTTTGAAACGGGCATTAGTTTCATACAAAATTCGATGGAGAGAGTGTTTAATAATTTTTTTACCCTAATAAATATATTTTTGTACAACTAGTATGTTTGACCACACACTCTGCTAGCTAAACTCTTGATGAAGTGGATTTTCAGACTGAAAGAATGTCCATTGTAATAAGAATCTAATGTTTTTCTATAACTGAACGATTTTTTCTGTATGTTTTCTACACTTTTTTCTCTTTGATCAATGGATAACATATCTTGAAATCATACAACACCCAGGTCCAAGTCGGGACATCGGATCATGTGGGAGTGGTTTCAAATCCGTTGTCACACAGCTAATCGGATTCGGTCGGTTACTTTTTGCCGGATTCCGATACTATCCACTGCTTTTCTTTGATATCCGCTGATCGGATTCAGCGAGTTCCGACCAGATCCATACATTCGGAATCGGTCAGATCCGATCTCAGGATCTGTTCGCTTCCGATGTGATTCAGGGTAATCCGATGTCAAGAAATGGTCGGAATTCGTGGTTTCACATGACACCGGTTTTCATGATAAAACCGTTCAACCACTGGTATCGGAACTTGTCGGATTATATAAGAATACAGGAGTTCCATTGATCGTTCTTTTTTCGTGTCAGATAGCACAGATACGACAGGATTCGATTACTGGTACATGGCGGAAATAATCAGAAAACTACGTACGTGATTCAGCGTAATGGCTAGCGCTCTGTAGAAGAGATAATTTTCGATAGTTGGATTGGGAACCCATTCCACTATGTTTTATTGAACAAAATCGAACCGAATGAATGACATGGTAATATCTGTATCAACATTGATAGCAATTATCAAATATAAGTAACTACAAACAGTCGCCGTATACCCAGATAATAATTGCTTCAATATTAAACAACTTAGCTGAGGCAAAAAAGATAGCGTTTAAAATTAATTGAACTTTTGTGCAATGATAAAGGCAGACAAACTGATTTCTTACTTTCATAACCTCTCACAATTTGCAATGGTTTCTATTAATTTCAATTTGTTTTATGTTAGTAGAGAACACTTTGTTCCCCTCGATAATCATACCGTCATCACATGAAAAAAAATTTTTAAAAATTATTGAATTATCGTTGGTTATTAGAAATCGATCTTAGTTGAATAATCTTAATAATCCGTTAAAATAGATTAAAAGCTATTAAAATCAAAATGAAATCTATCGTCAACTTAAGAAACCAGATTAAAATGAGATGAAAATGATACCTTTTCAACTGATTAAAATCGATTTTTAATGACTTTTTAGTCAAATAGTCGATTTTACTATGATTTTTTGTGAGAATTTTTTTATGGGCGTCTATGATGAATTATGCATTGATTTTCACAAAAAAACTGGTCGATTATATATTAGTCATATTCAAGTAAATATTTCGCTTCTTTTATAGATTGTTGACATTCACTGTAAAACTTTTGCACATTATTTCTTTACTAATTCTTAATAAATCAAAGTCAGCGGCTTTTTTATTGAATTCTTGCAAGAGATGCGAAAGAAAATCAATAATTACGAAAAGAGTTTTCTATTTTAACAGTTCTTATTCAAATTACATTCGTTTCATCTAGGGGCATCTGTGTATTGTATACTGATTGTAAGATATACTTTCTATAAAATTGACAGATCTTGAATGTGTTGCTGTAATAAAAAGATCAAGATTTCGATTAGTATGTTGAATAGTTTCTTTTGGTTTTTTTGAGTTATTTGAGATATATAAATATAAACACATCGGTAATGAAATAGTTTTAGCTGTTCAATTGTTTTTTTTAAAGATTTTATCGTTATATTCAATATGAATTTTGATTTCGAACAAACTCTTGATTTTGTTGAAAAGAGAAATTCTAAAAGATCAATGGAATATTATGCTAATAGAAAGAAAAAACGTAAACTTCATTTCAAACAAGCATCAAATAATAATGAATTACCTGATATTATTTCTTCGTTTCCACTTCATATCGATTTAAAACCAAAAGTAACAACAAATGTAGAAAATAACTGTTTTTTAAAAAAACAAATAGAAGAAAATATTATGGAATATCAAGATAATCTTGACAATATAAATCAAATAGAAAATATCAATATAGATGATAATGAGATTATCAACAACTCATCTGATAGTTTAGAATGCTGGAGTGATCTTGAAATTATTCATGAAAATTTATTACATTATCATACAGACATTTCAACCAAAGAATTTTGTTCAAAACTATTAACTTTATTAAGAAATTCTAATACTTGTAAATTGAACGCGAATCGTTTATTATCATTTATTAGTTCAATACTCCCAACACCAAATAATGTACCAAAGAGCATGGAAGATCTTTTAAATCAATTAGAAATAGAAAATAATATTTTCAAGAAATATTTATTATGTACAACGTGTAACGCTTATGTATCACTTAAGAAAAAATTTTGTTTCAAATGTTCATCTAATGATTCCAAAACGTTCGCTTTTATTTATGATATGAATATTGAAGAATATATCAGAAACATTTATATACGATTAAAGATAGAAATTGATCAATATCGAAATCAACTTCGGTTGATGAATGATAAAAATAAAACTAATGATATAGGATTTAACAATCTTTATCAACAACTATTGAAAGATAATTTAAATGACAATTTTATTACGTTTTTATTACATCTTGACGGCATTGGTTTATCAAAATCAACTAATTTGAAAATGTGGTTATTTTCTGGTTCAATAATTGAATTAAGACCTCAATTACGAAATAATCGTTATAATAATGTTCTTTTTTCTTTTTGGTTTAGCTATAAAGAGCCCAACGTAAAGATTTGGTTACGAAATTGTGCAAATTTGATCAAAATGATAAAAATGAAAGGTCAGATATAATTGAACCAGGCTTTTCTCAGATTTAGTACATTAATGACAATTCCTTAAAAAAAAAGAAATTTGAAGCGATATATTATATTTGATTCAGAACTTTAAGCTTCGATTAATATCTAACAATAGATATTAATAATAAAATGTTTCTTTGTTTTGTTTTTCAATATATATATATGTATTGATTCGATAAACTATTGCGAGTAGAAAAAGGAGAAAAAGAATGATTAATTTATGATTGGTTTATATGAAACGTATTAGAAAAATATAAACTTTCGTCATTGTTCACATAGAAAAGAAAGAATAATTACCGCATATAAATCGAATTATAAAAACAAAAACTCTAAACAAATTTTAAGAAGTTGATATAATTTTAGATATACGCTAATCATAGTTTTTTATTATCTTTCCCTCTTATTGTTAGTACCTTTGTAAATGTTTATATTATTAATTTATTCTCTGACAGATACAAATAAATTTAGTTTAACACAGTTAGTATGATTTTCGATATGATAGAATGAATAACATTTTTGTTTCATCTATTTTAGGGATAATAATAAATGAAAATCATTGTATTAATATTAAATTTCTATCAATTACTGGTGATTCACCAGCCTTAAGTAAAATACTTAATTTTATTGGACATGGTGGTTATTATTGTTGCAATTTCTGTTATGTACGTGGTATTGATATTGGAAGAAAAAGGCAATACTTTTACGGAAAAAAAATATTTCTTCGTCATATGGAGAAATATTACAAACAATCAAAGCAAGCTGAAACAACAAAAGAAAATATTCACGGACATAAAGGTGAATTATTAATATAACATTCTTTAAAATGTATTTGTTGAGATATATTTTTTAATAGTGCACAAATGTTATACGAGATTTTAAAGATATTTAAATAAAAAAATAGATCCTTGAGCAATATTAAAAATATTTGAAGTAAATTTCCTGAAAAAAAAGAGATTTAACTTTTCTTTTTAAGGGAGGCCACCCTCTCAGCAAACCGATTTTTTCGAAGAAAACTCGAAGTTGAGATTTTATCATAGGAAGATGCACCGAAGCCTCCTCTTTCAGAAAATATATGCCTTTTTTCCAAAAAGGCCAGGTTTTAATAAACTTACCAAAGGAGATTGGGGACCTACTATCATGTTTTTCGAGACATTCTCCGAAGTCTTTCAAAAACGGAAAAACGTTGCTTTTCTATTTTAATACATTGTATTAAAAAAAACAAAATATATCAGAAGATGCAGCGTGAAAGGCTCTACAATTTGTATAATGCCACTTATATTGTAGTTGCACTTTTTGTTTTAAAAATCGACAAAATTCTGAAAATATGCTATTTTCATATGTTGTTTTTTCAGCTTGAATAAAAAATCCATTTCTAAATTTGTTTTTCGTTTTTCTCAAAATCAATTTTTTCGAGTTTACCGTTTACGCGGGGAAGGATTTCTTAATAATGACGCAATAGAGAAGGGATAATTTTTTTTGTTGAATAGAGGACAGTCAGGACTAGATCCTCACAGGCTCCGATTTTTGAATTTCTCTGTTGCTGAAATAAAGACTCAGATATTTCATATTTATTAGCACTTTGAATTTGAACGTTTTTCGAAAAAGTATTTTTAAAAATCAAACAAAGTGAAATTCAAAAATCGGAGCCTGTGAGGATCTAGCCCTAAGGTCACCCTACAATTTAAAAACCACCCCGACATGATTAACTAGTAACCCCATTGGGAAAACCTTTCCCGCGTAAAGGGTAATGAATTGACTGGAACTTGCGCATATCTTTGCGATATGGGGGAGATATTTTAGCCATAAGCTATTCTAGTCAAGACTACCATTCTCTGAAATTTTGGTTGAAATCGGATGAGAAAATAACAAAGTTCGTTTCTGAGGAGGGGGAGGAGGAAAGCTTAAATGACACAAAACTTTTTTTATTACAGGAATTTCAATTCTACAAGATATACTGAACATACCATTACCACATGCAATATTAATTGATTATCAACATGTCACTTTGTTAAGACATACAAAAACTGTTTTGAGGGCAATTTATAAACAACTTAAACCATCAGATCGTGAACGATTTGGTAATAAATTAAAGTACCAATCATTTCCACATTTCTTCAATCGTCAAATGAAACCATTTAAAGAGTTTCGTTTTATAAAAGCAGTAGAATTACGAAACATTCTATTCTATGGATTTTTACCATTATCATTTGAATTTATTGATAATCAACAACTTGCTCATTTTGCTTTATTTATTTGTTCAATTAGATTGTATCATTCACAGCCTCCAATGTTTGGTGATAAAACACAAGCAATAGCTGATAAATTATTTGAACAATATTATAAAGATCATGGAATATTTTATAGTGGTATTCAAAATGATGTGCTTCATATGCATCATCATTTTGGTACACAATACCAGAATTATGGTTCGTTAGCGAATATTGGTTGTTTCTATCAAGAAGATCTAATAGGTCATATAAGTAAAAATATTCACGGTTCGAATTACTATTCTGATCTTGTAGTGCATTATTATTCTATTGATTTTGATTTACACGCACAAATTTCCCATACAAAATACAAAACAATTTCAAAACCAATAGACCTCAATGTTAATATTATTATTAATGATTATCCCACTATTATACAACACCATGATAAAATATGTACATGTTTAAATCATTTGACTTGTATCTCTATTTATCGACGATGTGTTATACGTAACAATATATTTCATTCATTAATTTATAATAAACGAGGAAAATCAAATAGTTATTTTATATCGTATAATAAATCAGCAAATGATTATATTAAATATTTCGGAAGAATTATATTATTTTTTTCATGTATCAACAGAAATTATGCTGTCGTTCAACGTTATACACAAAATCAAAATTTCAGCTATTTATTTAAAACATCACCATATTTTTCTTTATTAGAAAAACCATTAGATAATTGTTTTAGTCTATTGTCGAAAGAACCATCTGATTTATTTGATATTATTAATATTAATCATGTTATAAAACATTGTATTACATTTGAGTTTCAACAACAATTAATTGTAACAGAAGTTTCTGCATACCACGAACACGATTAAAAGTATTCTTTGTTATGAGTTTTTATTTCATTTATTTTAAAACATAAAAAAATAAATTTTTTGACAACCTATTTTCTGTTTATTGGACCTTGTATATTAAGCAATAATTTTGTCACGTATATTATTCTCAGAAAATTTGGAAAAATAGAATACTGAAAGTAATCATCAAAATAGTTTAATTGCGAATGTTGGAATTAGAGCTATTTTTATTGAACTATGTTATAGGAACCATGCTTCATTTATGCACAAAGAATAAATTCTAAGTTTTTCAGATTTTTTTAGTATTTTTCAAATTCAAATAACTAAATATATATCAATATAATGTTGTATTAATTATTCTGTATAATGTATTGAGTTATTTGAAATAGAGAATCAAATAATTCTAATTAAAAATTGATTTCATTTTATTTTTTTACTTAAATGACCTGTTTTAAATTTTTTTTGATCATCAAAAATGATTCGATCTCCACGAAAAAAAAATCCACCGAAAAAATTTACACCTACAAAACCAAATTTATATAGTCAAGAAAATTATCTACTACGTTTTGAGGATAATGATGAATTAATTGTGATTAAACGTTCAAGTATTGGATCGATCATTGAAGACAAAGCAATTGTTGGAACTGGTTCAAAACGTCGCTTTGCAATAATCGAAGCTAAAGGTAGGATATATATTTTATCGTTCTATAAAATAGCCAATGGCAGTATCGAATCGCGCGAACAATAGAATGTTAAATTTCATCCAGCTGTTATGGATCTATCAAATTGCTATTTGAAAAGATAAGATTCGCATAGTTTCTAAACTAGATTTTTCAATTTGATGTCACATATGTGTTCCTATTATTTTGAAAGTCATAATAAATTAGTGAACGATTTCTGCTTTGATCGTAGGTACTTATAGTCAATGTAACAATATGTATGAACAAATGAAATTACAGGAGGAGAACGTTACTAGCGATCAAGAAGGTAATGCTTGTTCATATCATTCTGCTTGACCATGCCACAGGCATTGGGATTTCTTTTTTTGTGATAATCTAATGTTTCGATTAGATATTTTAGATGCAATAAATGATTTTGCAGATGATGATACAATGAATGATGATAATGATCAGAACGAAATACCTAGTATGCTTATGATTTTCTCATAAACAAGTGATAATAATTGCTTTTTCTGTTTCTTTTGTACAGGACAATCATCATTAACAAAAAAAAGAAAATTGTCTTCATTGATGGCTGAAAGAACGATGGTAAACATATGCAAAGAATTTTTTTCCCTTGACAGCAGATTCATGCTATAAAATAATTTACTTTGACTATAAGTAAAAGTTTAACCCTTTGAGTACCGGCGACATGAATTCGCGTCCTGATAGCTTAGGATCCGAATAACTTTAGAAAATATGATCGTTTGATTGTTTTATGATATGAATTGCATGAATATTTGCGTTTAGGATATTTGTACGGTTAAGACTATCTTTACGTAGTGATGAATATTGGTTGTTCCCTAATATTTCTATCGACCACTATGTGATTCAATGAATTAGAACATAAGTCATTGAACAACATTTCCCAAGAAAGAATAATCGTTATCAACAGGATTTTTCATATTAACACAGTCATTCAAGAGTGTTATCTATAGTAAAGATTCTGATCACTTGATCACATTTGATAGCATCTCCCTTCGCGCTTTGAATCAACAGAGACTCAACTAAATCAAAGAAGAAAATGTTACGTTTGTGCCAATACTGTGAGAAGAGCCAGATCAAGAAGAGATACTTCGTATGAATGCATTGAATGTGATGTAGGATTGTGTCTTATGGATTGTTTAAAAGACTATCACACTCTACAAGCATTTTAATTGATGTACTTTGTGATATTTTTTGCGAAATAAACGTTAGTTTGAAATTATAAAAATAATCCGGTACTCAAAGGGTTAAACTGATAAAGTAGTTATATACGTACCGCAAATAGGAAGTAAATTTGCAAAGAATATTATTTTAATTCTGCTGTAGAAGACGTCAATTATAATACTGCCGCGACACAAAAAGATGTGTCGACAAATAAAAGTGAGCAGTAGCATCAAGATTTTAAATAAGGAATTATGAATACCATCTATTTTATTTAGAATGTCGTCGTTTTTTGGATAATTTCTCGTCGATCCAAAGTAACTTTTCCATTCTATTGTATTCGCTTATATTGTAATTATATTGCTTTTTAGATGATGTTTCAATAAATGAAAATAATAAAGAAAATGAAATCGTAGAAGGTATGTGTTACTGTTCCGATTAATTTGTGAATCAGAATAGTTTACAATCATCTAACAGTTAATTCTATTAAAAAGTTTATTTAAAATCATTTGACTTTATTGAATACAATAGATTTTCCAAAAACTACTTATAGTGTAGAAATGAAGTCATTTTTTAATATTATTTTAATATAATTATTGTTATATATTTTCAGCTAGTGTAGTTTATCAAACAATTGATGATATGCATCACATGATTTTACAAAAACTTGAAAAAAAGTTCCATAGTTTCACGAAAAAATTAGATCAATTAATTCCACATGCAGTAAATGATACACAATCATGTAATCCTTGGATTCAATATTCTTCTTTCTTAAACTTTAGGTTTATCAAAATTTAGATTCATATCGAGAGAAAGATGAGGTCTTTCCCTCACAAGTTGTAAGTATTACTTAATATTTGTTTATCCATTGATTACTGAAGTTGTCTTTTTTTTCAGATATATGAAGGTAAAGATCTTTTAATAACTCGTGGTCGAGATATTTATGATTTTGCAAGAAAAACATCGAACATTTTATATACACCAAAAGAATTAAGTACTTGTATTTTGCCACCAGCTAGGCGTCATTTAGCACGACCGGCTTTAGATCCGGAACGTTTCAATTTATTTCATGGTACATAGCTTTCGCTGGATATAAGATCAGTTTTTGAATTGAATCAATAAATACATACAAAAGTTTATTTCAAGCTAGTTTCATTTGTCGAAATATCTAACTAGAGTTGAAATAGCATTTTATTGTATTTTTCACTGTACTATGATTTTTGCACAGCTTTTACAAACTACAAAAGTATTAGAATAAACTCCTAATTGTGGAAAATCTTTTGTTTTCTTTAGAAGCTGTTCGAGTTAAATATAGAATTTCTCTATTATCCTACGACAATTGCTATGCAAAGTTGATTCGACCAAGGATGTGTGACTTTTTAATAGATGAACAAAAACGACAAGCAAAAGCTCTAAAGCAACAGTCAATCAACAATCAAGAACAAAATCAAAATATAGACTGATTATAATATAGACTGAATATTATTTTATTTTATTTGATAAACGTTGAGCTATTATTGATCTTCTTCAAGTCTTATTTTAAATAATGAAGAAGGTTTGCTTGTTTTACCGTAAGCATTGCTCAAATATGTCGAATATCGCTTGTTTTATTTAGTTTCCTACTTTTGTTCTTTTTAATATCATATATACATTGCTTCAACTAAATAAACAAACTCCTTTGGTTGCTTAGCATGAGAAATTGGAATGAATATTTAGTGATTTATCATAAATAAACAAAAAATTAAGTGGTTATACACTCATTCAAGAATTTTAAGCAGATATTTATAAACATCATGTAAATAGTGCTAGATGGTAAAATATTCTGTGAAAATAGAAATAGTAGGAGTCTAAAGTATTTTCTCCATAAAATTTTCTTACTTAAAGTGAGGAAAGCCTTTCGTGTGGTTAGCTTATGCATCTAATTTCGCATAAAATTTATCTATTGATCTGAAAAAAACAACGACTTTTAAATGTATTTTTTTCATTTAATTTTATGTAACCAACATAAACATTCTTAATTATTGTAAATAAGAAACAAGATATTTTTGATAAATTCTTTTTTATTTAATTCTAATTATTAAATAACACACAGCAAAATAACAAAAAAGAATCAGTACCAAAATGATAATGAGATTACGTCGTTTTGTTCCTCATCAAACAATAATTGACATAGTCATAGATATCAGTTTTATTTAAAAAAAATATCCGTTTAGGATTTATCATTATTATTATCAATGTGAATTCTTTCATATTGTCTTTTTTATTTCTTTGTTTGTTATATCTTCTATCCTGTTTCAAGTGAACTTTATGTTTTGAATAGTTATCAAATTAAGAATAAAATAAATTAGTAAATAAATTGATATAGTATCAATATTTGAATTTATTTCGATATATCAAATTTTTATTACATTTTTTATCATGACTAATGCTTGAAGATTGGATTTCTAATTAATATCTCATAATATTAAATTAAAGAAATGAAAAAAGAATATACACAAGATACGATTATTTTAGCTGTAGATCAAGCAGTAAAATAATGAAAATGAAAATCTTGAATTAATTTCAGAAATTTTATTTCAAAACTTTTGATGTTTTTTCATAAAACGATTACCTCCAGTATGAAAATGTTCTCAGTAAATCTTGAATAATGCGTTTAAAAAAATCAAATGACAAATTCGAATGAAAACTAATTTAAGTATAATCATCGGTAAACAAAAAGAAAGAAAAAGTCTAGTTAATAATAACATAATGAATGTGAGAAGTATTTAGAAGAACAATCTACATAGTAATCATTCTTCTAGATGGAAATTTGAATATGATAAACAATAAGTTATACTAAGATTAAAATATAAAACAAAAACAATAGTTTCGCATTTCAAAATATCTAGAGAAGATTTTTTTCCGTCTTTATAAATGTTCATTTGCTTTTTTAAACTCTTTTATTTGGAATGGTTGATTTCATTTTCTTTCTGTAATTAAGTAAACCAAAATAATTTGACATAGCATGTTTAATTTTTGCCGTTGTCGTTAATTCATTTGGATGCGCCTTTTGTACAAGGTCTATGTAACAAAAACAATTAAATTATGAGGATAAAAAAATTGGATTTACCAATGATTGCATCATTAAGTACTTTGTTCATATTCGATAGTTTAAAATTCATTTCAGGATTTGGATAGAGATACTTGAGTATGGAACGAGCTGTTGATGTTGAAGTTTCTTTTTTTAATGAATTTAATGTTGCATCATCAATATTAAATATTGTCATAACATTTCCTCTTTTATCATCATTATTATTAACTGTAACAATATCATCATTTTTATTTGATGTAACAACACTATCATCATTATTTGCTGGAACAATAGTATCATTATTATTTGCTGCAACAATATCATCATTTTTATTTGCTGGAAGAATATTATCATTACTATTAGCTGCAACAATACCATCATTTTTATTTTCTGGAACAGTATTATCATTATTATTTGCTGCAACAATACCATTGTTATTTCCAGGAATGATGTCATCATTTACGGTAATAACATCACCATTACTAACCATAGCAATATCATCATTACTGGCCATCGCAAAATCATTATTATTTAACATGATAACATCATTTTTATTATTCGAGATTTGTATAATATCATTGAAAAAATTTTCAATACTAGTAATATGTTGCGGAATTACTAAGTAAAAAAAAAGGAAAATTCTAACAGAATTAAAATTTATAAACTTACATAAACATGCTTTCTCCAAAATTTCAACACGTTGTTTAAGATCAATACACTGTTTTTTTAAATTAATTATTTCAATTTCCTTGTTATCAATGGTATTTGAATAAACTAATTCAATTGGTCTTTTTTGGCCGGCCATAAGTGGACAATCTAAATTCATAAAAGATTTATGGTTCGCTAGAAGACAAGTATAACTATACTTGTTGCAACATCACTTGTGCTATTTGCATATTCAAGACATGGATTATTATTTTCTTTTTCTTCATTTAAATGTTTCGTAACAGTTCTTTTTCGACCCATTAGAGCAATAAAAATTAGATAAGTCAATCTAAAAAATACACTGTCTATAGAAATAATTCGAAAATGTATTGGCATCACATCATATTTATTTATTTCGCTTGACCCACGAGCTATTGTTCAAGCAATTGAGCGGAGGCTTATCGTTAATAGTCACAAAAATTGCTCATTATATATCAATAGACTTCAAATCAGCTCAATATTTATTTCAAAGAAACTAATGAATATAAAATTAAATGGTAATCTACACATAAACAACGTTAGATGTCGGTATCTCACGAAGTTCATACATCAAACGCAGTAGTAAATGATGATTTCTACAAATTTCATCAAATATCCATACATCTGAGAATATACTATCTCAAATCAAAAAAGGTTTATAGCTTCGTAATATAAGTATATATTGCATATTTTCCATCAAAAAAAAAGGTAATCGACTGCACAATTTTTAAAATTTATTCTCTTCTTTTGAATGATCAATCAAGATTATCTCACATTCCTTGAAAAATCATCGAACATCAATAAATATATGCTTTCAATAATCACCAATAATCGTTTGCCGTTTAGTTTTACAAATACCTATCTTTTCTAGAAAGGTTTTCATGAATACTTCAACTGAATTTCGAAAATCTTCCTGAGATAAATCCTACTTTAAATGATTCCATTTGGTTGTAGAATTATGTTTTTCTTCTAAGTGAATCCATTATTTAGAATGTATCTAACTAAATGCATTTGCTATTTACTTAATTAGTTTTATATTCCTTTTCTTAAAAAAACAATTCGAAATCTAGAAATCCGATTGTGTCCAGATTTCATTCACCGTTTTGTTTTGCAGATATTCACCTATATAAAGAACTATTTTCTGCAATATTTTCATCACGTTTTTAACATGTTCATGACATAAATCCCACCTTAATAAATGATTCCATTTAGTTGAGCAAAACATATTTTCTCTTAATAGAATTCATCATTTAGGATATATCTCACTAAAATCCATTTGCTAATTAGTTAATTAGTTTTATATTTCTTTTCTTAAAAAAAAAATTCGAAATCTAGAAATCCGATTGTGTCCAGATTTCATTCACCGTTTTGTTTTGCAAATATTCACCTATATAAAGAACCATTCTCTTCGATATTTCCACTACATTTTAAAATCCTTATAAAAAGCTACTACATACTAGGCATCATATCAAATGATGTATTGCGTGATTATACCAATTGTCCTAGTATCCATATTACTCCATACCAGGTATAATCTTAGTATATGTACATCTTGCCCCATACGAGGTATAATCCTAGTACGTTTATGTACATATACATAAAACCCCATACCGGAGACAGTGGCAGTTCAAAACGTAGAAATCTTTTGAAACCTTCATAAAATAATTGTATAATCTGAAAGAAATATTCAGAACTCTTGACGAATCCTTTGTCTAATCTAAATCAAATCTTTAGAAGTGCTGGTGAATTGCTGATAAATCGCGCGACAACCTAAGAAATCTTCATGGACTGCTGCACAAATGTCGAGAAAATCTTCGAAAACCTCCATCAAATCTTGATGAAATCCGTAGAAATCTGATGCAATCTTTATGAAATTCGCAAAATCTCCATGAAATCAGTAGGAACCTTCAGAAATCTTCATGAAATCCGTAGAAATCTTGATGAAATCTGAAGAAA